ATAGTATGGATTGTTGATAAATTGTACAGTACATACCCCTACCATCACCCAAATCTACACCCATGGAATGCAGTGTTCTTATAAACAGTAAAGGTATTGTATCTGCATCTGTTTCAGTCACGTGACCTTTTCTTCATAGCTGCCATATTTATGACCATCTGTGAAATACATTTTCAACTGTACCAAATTCCATGAATAATTTATACAGATCTGTATTCAGCACAGTACCGCAGAATCTGACAATTGTTGAAATCTACATTTATTTATTCCACAATCAATCTACAAACATGTGCTTCATAATCTAAGGATGTGTCTAGTGTTAAATGTAATGTAAAATCACACTAAAGCAAATGTTTTCAGTTACTGAGGTCAATATAGAAGTGCTCTATTCTCAGGCAGCCTTGAATAATTCATTCCACAAACGGAAGTGTAATTTTATTGAGTGCATGATTTTAAACAAATTTTTAAAGTATTATTCATTTCTTTATTTGTAAAAAGGAGGAAAGAAATGACTGAGTGTACTTTTAACTAAGTATGTGCAATCTTGTCTTCAAGTGTGGTCTCTCTGTGTACTCCATAACCCTACGGGAAGCTGTCCAGCTGAACAGGATTATAAGGATATAAACTCAGTATACGCATAGGCCATTAAGGCAGCTGTTCAGTTGCGTCAAGTGTTATTTGATGAGCGTTTACATAATGCCGCTATGCCAATATACAAGTCAATTATGGAACTGCCTATCCAGTGGTTTTCCCAGCATTTATAGATCTGAAGATGGCAATCACAGCTTTGTGTTCATTGGTTAATGCATGCATATTATGATTTTTTTATTATTATTATTATTATTTGTTTTGTATTCCATGATTTTTTATCGCTAGATAGTGGAGATTTGAAAGTGCCTCTCAAACAGACACACACGGGTCCGTGTTTGACATGTGGGCGTCATATCAAGAAGTTCAGTATTGTTAGTTAATATTGGAATAGGCTGCTGACCTTCTCTGAACATTGAGCACTTTATTAATAATACCTCAGAGTGGGATAAATCCAGCACTGGTCTCATGTCTGCCCCCTTGGTGTTTGTCTGCCCAGCGGATGCCCCTGATCTGATCCCAACATGCTTTGTCATTCCAAGTTTGTGAGAATCAGAGGACATTAGGGAGGATATTACGACTGAGTTGCTGAATAGAGTATATCTTTATCCTTTTTGTTCACACGCACTACGGTTCAACATCATTTAAAATCCAAGGAATTGATTCTAAATGAATGTGCTGTTCCCAAAACATGCAATTTGATTGTATTTCATGCCAAAACTAGAAGGTGATTTGTTTTAAACTTAAATTTCCTGGCATTGTGATTTTGTGCCAACAAAAACAGGTTTTTAGCTGCAGAAAATAAATTGTTCTCAAAAAAAGACCAGACTTTTAAAAAAATAAGTCAAAAGAAGCTGTGCATGAAACCCTTGGTGGCAATTATATTATTGTTTCCCAGGCCTGTTTCACTGGCCTGTAATAGCAGAGTCAGAGGTGGTCTAAGGTCAAGTCAGGGCTAACAGTGCAAGGATCAAGAACAGTTCACTACATCACCACATATAGTGCTGTAGAAAAAGTTAAGAATTTTGGCATGTGTTGTAGTATATAGGTAAGAATGTTTGCTACATGTCATGTTTTTGATTGCTGTAGTTAACAGCTTTTGGGCACTTCAAAGTTAAGACAGCTGTTAGTGAAGCAGAGTTGGATCATTAACCGACAATGATCTGAAACATCCAAGCAAGTCTACATCATGATCACAGTGGTTAAAAAATAATAATAATAATAAGTTTTGGAATCACCTAGTCAATATCCAGATTGAAACCCTGTTTAAATGCTATGCCATGCCAAAACCTGGAATGCATAGTTCATGCTCAACCTACAAATGATCTGAATCAGTTTTGCAGTTAAGAGTGAGCCAACATTTTATAGTGTTTTTTGTTTACTTTTATTCATTAATGGATATTGGTTGAAGATTTTGTATAATTTTCTCTTGTTTTACTATACTCTTTATTATTACTATCATGAGCAGCATCTCAGTGTATTTGTTTTTATTAGTTTTTTACCTTTATTAGTTTTGTATGTGGGCTAATGCTTTTAATTTATAATGATAACAGCCTGTGTTCTGAGGCCAGTTCGTACTGCCAGAAGTCCAAATAACATATTTGCTAGGTTTTATTGAGCCAGTGTGTTTGCCCTGTTGGCAACACCCTTGCGGTGTGAACTAGCCTGGCATATACTGTGAATGTGTCTGTGTAGGTTGTGCCAATTTGTGTAAGAAAGACAGGAACTGTGAGAGCATGCAACGGAGGGAGTGGAATAGACAAAGAGATTGTTAGAGGGCCAAGTACCCATGGTGTGATCAGGGTGAGCTGAGAGCATATGTGGAGTGAACAGCTGGACAGACAATTTGAGATTTTGAGCAGAGGTGGTTCAAGCATGGTCAGAATCAGAATGTGGGAAAACTGCCTTTCACAATGATGAGGTTATGGGTTTCCACACGTACGTAGGCTGAGACATCCACCAGATCAGATATGCTGTCAGCTGCTGTGTGTCTGTCACTCAGACCCACGCCAAAATGCCCTGCTGGCATGAATAGATGTACAATGAGCTCTCAGTACAACCAGTGAGGGACTGAGAAGAAATACTGGGTAAGCCATTTGCTTGGTTTTCCCCTTAAATAACTGCAGTGCTGTTTTGTGCAGATGCTGTAGAATATACTGAAGACTAAATAGTATTACTGAGTAAAAATGACTGAAGATCATACACAGTCTTTTAAGGACAATATTAAAATTCTGAATTTATGTAGGGGGTTACTGAGCTTGGTTTTAAAATGCCACACAGCTTTTAAAGGATAATGTAGTCTGTCCATACAATGAAAGTCAAAAGGTCTAATGTTGTTTGCACCCCCACATTCTTCGAAAAGTCTTGTTTTGAAGAAATAAATGCATAAATGGAAACATTTATTTTTGGTATAAAGCAATCGTGTATTTTTGCTCCATTTGAGCCCTCTACAGTCTATAGTGGAATTCACTTTTGTGAATGTATCACTGCTGTAATTGCTGTAGCTGTGCACATGCATTTGCTGTACACATGCACATGCAATTCACCCTTTTCATGGAATTTTGTACCCACTTACTAAACTTACTCCCAGAACAGACAATTAGTGGTGAGAAACCATTTGTCTTATTAGAAGTCAGTGTACCTTCAGAATGATTTTGAAAGTGATATCTCAAGGCAAAAAACAAAACAAAATGGGGCATACAAATGCTTTAAAGGGTTAGTTCACCCAAAAATTAAAATTAGCTTGTGTTTTACTCACCCTCGAAGCATCCTAGGTGTATATGACTTTCTTCTTTCAGACGAATCCAGTCAGAGTTATATTAAAAATTGTCCTGGCTATTCCAAGCTCTATAATTGCAGTCAGCGGGTGCTACAGTTGAACAGTCCACCAGTCGTCAAATAAAGCTCGCGCATTCATAATAAAACATGCCGCAGACGGCTCCGGGGGATGAATAAAGGCCCCCTGTAGCGAATCCATGAGTTTTTTTTAAAGAAAAATATCCATATTTCAAACGTAATAAACACTTTTCTCTTACTTCCGTTGACTGTCATACACTGCAGCAGTTCCGGCGGATGACGTAGCACGTATGCGCAGCGCGCGCGCCTCTGAGGTATGCTAGTCTCGCGAGTTTGTTTATAGGAGCAAAGGAAGCAAAGTTTCCTTACGTTAGCAAAGGAAATCCAGTCTCCTCTTGGTTTATATCGAAAGAACGTTTTTCTTTACAAATCCTCGGTTTGTACTTCTAATTCGTGACCGGCGTTTTGTTCGCGCATTCATAATAAAACATGCCGCAGACGGCTCCGGGGGATGAATAAAGGCCCCCTGTAGCGAATCCATGAGTTTTTTTTAAAGAAAAATATCCATATTTCAAACGTAATAAACACTTTTCTCTTACTTCCGTTGACTGTCATACACTGCAGCAGTTCCGGCGGATGACGTAGCACGTATGCGCAGCGCGCGCGCCTCTGAGGTATGCTAGTCTCGCGAGTTTGTTTATAGGAGCAAAGGAAGCAAAGTTTCCTTACGTTAGCAAAGGAAATCCAGTCTCCTCTTGGTTTATATCGCTCCCACATTTTTCTTTGCAAATCCTCGGTTTGTACTTCTAATTCGTGACCGGCGTTTTGTTTTGTTTTCTCTCCGCATTCGTCACTAATCACGCAACGCTGACATGCTGCATCATCCGCCGGAACTGCTTCAGTGTATGACAGTCAGCGAAGTGTTTATTACATTTGAAATATGGATATTTTTCTTACAAAACACATGGATTCGCAACAGGGGGCCTTTATTCATCCCCCGGAGCCGTCTGCAGCACGGGACAATTTTTAATATAACTCCGACTGGATTCGTCTGAAAGAAGAAAGTCATATACACCTAGGATGCTTCGAGGGTAAGTAAAACGCAGTCTAATTTTCATTTTTGGGTGAACTAACCCTTTAAGTAAATTAATTCCAATTCAATTTAATTATTTAATTCAATTTTTGTATATATTTTGTATTATTTTAAAGAAAAAGGATATGTGCACATAGTGATCTCCACATTGTTGTTTTCAGTATTAATGATCAAAGATTAATTGTTAATTTTACTGACAGTCATTCATGAAAACTGAAATGGCATTGAAATGGGCATTGAAGTTCTGCAAGCAAACAAGTAAGGTATATTAAATATTTTTTAGGGGTCCATATATGGATTTTATTCTCAAAAGAGGAGCATTAGGAAAACTGAGGCTGCACATCTGTGTTCTCGAAGCAGGGTCTATTGGGACACAGAGGGAGGTTGAATATTTCTCACATTTTGGAGGGGAAAAGTAGAAGTGGCCAATGAGGTCCAACTTATATTAAAGAGAACACGCCTTCTGTCTCTCTCTCCCCCTGTTACAATGAGCTAAGAGAAGGAAAAGATATCTCATCTTGCATTGCAGTGTTGGTTAGACTACTTTTGCAAGACGCGCCTGATAGCATGTTCTGAATGACTCGGGCAACAGAAGGACTAGTGTATATGCAAAGATGAGATGCAGCTGGGGCTTGTCTATCCTGTTGATTCTGTATGTGGGTCCTCTTCATGCCTTTTGGTGGAACAGTTCACCTGTCACAAAGGCCCCCAGAGTGGACAATGACACTTCTGTTGGTGGAACGACCAGTAAGGAGGAGAAAATTGCTGATGTAGGGTCGGAAAAAATAGATGCAGCCAGAGGGATCCAAGGATTTGTGAAGAATTGGGACCAGAACTCAACTGTGAATAACAATGTCACAGTGAGGACACCTGTCATCTCCTCGAAAACGGGTAATGATAAGTCTTTATCAGAAGAAGTCGAACACAAAATAAATGTCAAAGGTTCCTCAGGTGATGCCGTTGGGTCAGGCTTAGGCTCAGTGCCCACTATGGATTTGGCTCAGGAAGGCAAAACAACAGCGACCAACCTTACAGGGACAAGGGTCACTGACAGCAGGATTAGTATAATTAGCACTTCCGCTTTCACTGAGGATTCCACAAACTGCTTATCAAGGGGCTCTGACTGGCCTTTCTGTTCATCTCACGGTGAAGTCACATATTCTGTACCTAATTTTTTTAACCACACCCAGGCAGAGGATGTGGTAGCTGTGTTAAATGAATGGGGTTGGCTCCTGCGTTCAGGCTGCCACCATGGTTTGGAATGGTTTTTTTGCCTACTACTGGCACCAAGATGCCATCAGCCCTCTGAAAAACCTGGGATAGCCCTGCTACCCTGCAGGACTTTCTGTGAGGTGCTGCTGGACAGCTGCTGGACAGTCCTACAGGAGAGGGGCCTGCCTGTGGCCTGCCACACCCTCCCCGAGGGACCAGAGCCCAGTCAGTCATGCCTAACCGTTAGTAACCACAAAGGTAAAACTGTGATGCATCTCAAACTTGTGCCGCTTGTCTTGTCGGTATGTGTTTTTTATTGGTGTGCTTTCTACCATGAGAGACACCAGTCAATTCCTGTCTGTCAGCGGTTGCTCTGCTCTGCTCTGCTCTGCTATCGCTTTGCCAGGGCTCAGACCAACATTTACTACCTGGGTATATGCTAACCAGCAGAACGTTTACTTATGCACATCTGCTGTGATGTGAGGTCTGCATGCGTGGCTCAGTGTGAATCCATTAGAATTACATGCATGCATGAATACTAATTGCAGATTCATTCTAAACATTTTCATTTTGGCAGACTGTTTTTAACCTGTAGCTCATATTTGTGTGTAAACTCTGAGTGCAAGCATTTTCAATCAGAAATCATTATTAATTAATACGTGTGCACTTGTTTCTTAATTTAGTGTAAAATGTAGATCCACAGGTTTGCAAAAAATACTGAATTTTGGCAGTCTACAATTTGTTATTATTAGACAGAATAATTAAGTGCCATACAATATTTTTTTACAAAATTGTGTTATAGCTAGATCTTGTGTAGTTGAGGCCTGTATAAAAGCTGTTTATTGTATTTTGACTGGTCTTGAAAGTGATACGCTTGACTTAACTTAATTGGAGAACAAGCTGCACATGCTTGTTTGCAGAAAGTTACTAATACAGGAGAAAACTGTGGTGTGGAAACCCTTATGGAGATGGTTTAGGCAAGTATTGTGCTAATTATGTTCCATCTTTTAGAATATTCCTGATTCATCAACCTAAGAAGAATAAGAATGAGATGACGTGCAATGCACCATACATTTAGTCAGAAACACACTTATATGCAGTTATAAATGAATGAGAAGAATGTGGGGAATCCGCTTACTGTATGCGTTCTGTAATGTCAGGAATTAGGTTATATAACCAGTGTTTACTCATTGAGGTCAGTTCTGATGAGCAAATTGCATTCCCTGGTGGTCACCTATCTAAGTACTGACCAAGCCAAACCTTGCTTAGCTTTAGAGTTTAGATGAGATCAGGAGAGTCTATGGTTGTTCATGTGAAATGTAAAAAATAATCCATCAGGCAAAGTCATTCATTCTCATGTTCAGAATAAGTGCTCCTAGAGTGCTTGATTCTTAAAGCAATGCTTTTGTTTTATTTCTGTAACTGAGACTCCTGAGCTTTAAGTCATCTATCAACCGAATTATGTTCACTGTGAAAGCAATGCTAATGTCTCTCAAGCATTTTCAGTGTTGGTAACTGCTTCAAGATGCAAAATGGTGTCAGTGACCTACTTGCATTTGTACAACAGGTCACAAATAGATTTGAGACACAGGAAATCTTCAATGTATTAAAAAGAAAATAAAACTACTGATCCTAGTGTATGATGTTTAAGGCCAGCTCAACCATCTATCACAATAAAATAGATTTTTCTCCATGCTGAATCAGCATTCTTGTCAAACACAATCCAGTTTGACCACCATCTACATACATACTGTATGTATGAGTTGTGGTGGATGACCTCAGCCACGTTTGTTGGAGAGTAACACTTGGACAAAGAGGCAGATTATTGTGTCTCTGTGTTATTAATAAGACAAAGAACTTTCTTTGCGTGCTGGTTATAACAAGGTTCCCTCTGAAAATGTGTGACAAGACACAGCAGAGAATCCACGATCAGATTTAAGAGGCTTTATTTTTAGCTATGAGGGACTTTTCCTTTTTTTTCTTTTTTTTTAGATGATGTGCAAGAAATGCTGGGAGATTGATAGAAAAAAGAATTCATTGTGTAGACAGTTGTGAAGATCTGTTGTGGGGGAAGAGCAATTCTTATCTGACACAAAGTCTTCCTTGATCGTTTAATGACCTTTCATATTTATGACCAGCTCTGGCATTGCACTGTGATGGTAATTAATAAGGTTGGCGTTTTGATCTATCACTGTGGTCTTGGAGAAAGCACCATGAAAACCGCAAATTTCTCAGAGGCAAGCAACTGCAAGCCATGCTGTAAGAGGGTTTTTTTCTCTTACACATCTGGTACTGTATCCAGACTTCATCATTTAACATGTATTTATTTGTTTCAGTGCATTCTTTTTGGATTTAGGCCATTTTGCATTCAGTATGTTAGTTTTCCTTTTATTTACCATCAATTTCTTCAGTATAAGTTGTTAGACAGTGTTTAAAAAGAGCTGAATTATTATAATTGGCAGCTGTTTCATGCTGGTCATTTCCTTGAGTTACGCTTTGTCTTATCTCTTGGGAAGTATAGGGGCTCAGATAATTTTTTGAAGGGAAAGTTTATCTTAATTAGGTCTCTTGGGAGTCAAGGAGGTATCAGTTAACAGGATCCTCCGGTTTCCATCTCATTCATTTAACTCCCATTTACCTATCCAACTGTCAGTAGACTTACAACCATTAAGAAAAAGAAAAAGAAAAAAAAATATATATATATATATATATATATATATATATATATATATATATATAGTCCTTCTGCTAGGAGTTGATAGACAATTCCTAGCAGAAGGCATTTTAACAATAGCAATTTGAAGTAATCAGAGTGGACAGAACTTTTAGGAGACTTGCATTTTTTATGTTTATGTGTTATTAGCATCAAATTTTATTTTGTTTTGTCAAATCCCAAAATGTTATTTATTTTAGTCATGTCTTATCACAGCTGTAGGATGTAGATGCATGTGGGAGAGTGTCTGGAACAGTTGGCCAATAACACTGGTGCCCAAGGGACGATTTATTCATCAGCATGTTCACAATTGTTGCAGTAGAGCACGTTATTTATTGTTTAATTATAGATAGATAGTTCAAGTAGTTCAGAATGAACATTCACTAGTACTTTAAATATAATTTCCTTTATAATAACGTTTTGAAAAGATTCCCTGCTTACATTTACACTTTTGAAATATGGTTTATCAAATGTATGTGGCAGTTAAGCTTTGTTTTTATCACTTACTTTAGTAGCATTTATAATGTCTTGTGTCAGGCTTTATGATAAATAATTTTTTGAATGATATCGCAATGACATGATGCACTCTCACTCATAGTGTAATTTGCAGTCTGAGCTTTATGGTGGTTCCAGTGGCTCCACCTTTATTGTGATTTACAAGTGGATTGTATTAGAGTTAATGTTGTGAGGTAGGATCCAAGAGCAAGTGGACACATCTGGACTAGATAATGGGCCAGCTAAACTCCCAGAATCCCCTGTGTGAGTGTTTTGAAAGAGGGTGACAGCACAACACAGGAACGAAATGAATGCTGGCTGAGTGGGTGAGTGACTGGACAGCCGTGTCAAATGAGAACCATGGTGTAGTATGGAAAAGCCACTAAGCTGCCATTGCCGTTGAAACATGAGCCTAGAATTAGACATGCCGTTCCCACAGTCAGTAGTGTTAGCTTGGTTCAGCCCAAATCTGCCTGCCCATTTTTTTTTATGCAAGAATTTACAACAGTTTATACAACAGTATACACAAGTATAGATGTAGAATGTAGAGAAAACCTCTTCATACAGTAACATATGTTGGAGTAATGGTTGACAGCTATGATTAAAAGGTATTAATAGGTGTTTATTTTATAACAATTCAGAGCTGTTGCCCTTTTGAAAAAAGAGTGCACTTACTGTTATTGTTTTGAATGTGCACTTGTAGTATACTTCAAATCTTATATTTTTTAAATACTGTACTTGCAAGATAATATCATATTAATACAATAAAAGGCTACTAGTATAAAAATAAAAGTTTGTTTCACTTCCCAAATTCATTTCTCAGTGAATAATACAGATAATTTTGTTTATTTTGGTAAAAAGTTATAAGTTTTTTTTTTTTATTAAAATGTCATTATCATTACATTTGATTATATACAATTTTAAGAGTGTGACCAATTTTTACAATGAATTTAGTATAATGAAAAATAAATAATTACTTGTGCTGTCATTAAAGAGAGTAACATGTTCATGACATGTTTTAAAAAGTGTACTTTGTAATAATGTCAAATTAATAGTTTTACCAAAAAGTAAATTTTTAATAATTGTTTTGATAATTTTTTGTTATGTTATGCTAAAACACTTATTTTGATGTGCTGACTAATACTGTAGTTATAACATTTAACTAGTGTATTATTTAATATTTAATATCTTGGAAATTGGAAATGTACCTAAAATGGAACTTTATCATTACAAATGTATAATTACAAATTCTTTAAGTACTTGACATACAAGTTTCAATAGAAATTACATTAAAGTATATTTAATAAATGTGTTTTAGTAGTTTTAGTGTTTCACCAGTAAACATTGTCATTACACATATTGTATTGCATAAAAATAGACTTAAGTCATGTTTAAGTGAGTCAAAAAAGTAACCAATTATATTTCATATAAATGTAAACTATAATATTTTTCACAAGGGTGACCTAGTAAAAACATTTACACTAAAGAACAGTCAAGTCTTTCCAAGACCTAGACCTTTAAATTTCTATGATCTGACAATGGTCTCCCTATACTCCATCATCAACCCTGAGAAAGCAAAATTTCACATATTTAGCATGCTAAATTTAGTCTGATTCTCTCAGGACTTACTGTAATGTACACTGTGAAGAATTATTCCACTGTGTCTAACTGTTTTCCCCCAGGTTCAGTAGACATGGTAATAATCACCAGTCACCATTTTTGTCAGTCCCCATAGGCTGCAGCATGTTGATTTATGAGGCTGAACCAGTTGACTTTGTTGTAGGGTGCAATTTTACTTCACATGTATTGCAAAGATTATATAATAACTGGCCCTTTTTCTAAAAGACACATGCTATTTTAGGCACTAGTAAGAACTGAATCGTTTAAATATTTCAATAGCAAATTAAAATTTCAGTAATATTTCAGCAATAATTCATTTAATTTTCACTTAATGTTTTTAAATGTAACATCACCAAACACTACATTCATTTCAACTGTACTGATTTCCATTATTTTTTGTATCATAGCAGAGAGTGGAATCTCCCTGCTGCAACTAATTAGAAACCCTCCACCTGAAGACATCACCCGGGTTTCAGGCCCAAATGGACAAACTGCTTACCTCTTCACAAAAGATACCAACACAGAACAGATGGCACGTGCCCACCTTCCCACACCCTTCTACCGAGACTTCTCTCTTGTCTTCCATTTGAAGCCCAACTCTGATGATGCTGGAGTCCTCTTCTCCATCACCGACTCAAATCAAAAGATCATGTACATCGGGGTGAAGCTCTCAGCAGTGGAGGATGGCAAAAGAAAGGTTATTTTTTATTACACAGAGCCTGATTCAGATACATCTCAAGAGGTGGCCAGCTTTGAGGTGGAACACAAGCCACAAGAGTGGAGCCGCTTTTCTCTCGCTGTTAGTCTGGACCAGGTGTCTTTCTACGAGGACTGTGAATCTGGGCCCAAGGTGGTAAAGTTTGAGCGCTCAGCTGATGACTTGGAGCTGGAGACACACTCCAAGATCTTTGTTGGACAAAGTGGAGCCGATGACCCAGACAAATATCAAGTATGTCTAAAAGTACTCTGTATGTTGGCCACATTTTATTTTAAGGTCCAATTCTCACTATTAGCAAACCATTAACTATGACTTTTGCCTCAATAAACTGCTAATTTGCTGCTTATTAAGAGTTAATAAGGCAGTTGTTTAGTTTAGGTATTGGGTAGGATGTAGAATATGGTCATGCAGAATATGTGCTTTATAAGTACTAATAAACAGCCAATATGTTAATAATAGGCAAGCTAATAAGCAACTAGTGAGAATTGGTCCCTAAAGTGTTACCATGCTTTTTGTTCAAATATACAAAGGGACAATAGCAAATGTATCATGGACCCTTTGTAGTTTTTCTGTCTGTTAGTGAGTCTGTCTGACAAATGATCAACTGATCAGTCGATTGTCCCAGACCAATATGGTATAACTACTGTATCTATACATCCATCCATTCAGGAGAATTATCTGGAATGACATTTATGTTCATACACAACTACAGCTGATATGTTGACTGATGTTTACTCTGATGTTGATGTTGACCTGTTTTTTTAGGGCATGATCTCAGAGTTAAGGGTGGTTGGAAACCCACGAGCTGCAGAGCGTCATTGTAATGATGCTGATGATGATGATGATGATGACTATGAAGTAAGCTGCAAATAATCTTAAGACTGTGTCATTCTTATATCTACATTTGTTGGCAATTTTTTTTTTAATGTATTGTTAATAGTACACAGACAGAAATGACTCTTAATCGTTCTCCCACTGAATATCTTTATGGATTACTAACTAAGTTAATGCTTGCTTCTCATTATTTGTAGAGTTCTGGAGAAAATGGAAGTGGAATAGGTGACAGAATGGATATGGATCATAATTTAGTAGGTATTTTTGGACATTAGCTATCTGACAAAATATGTTCGGTCAAACCCTTCTAGTAAAAAAACTCTTGGTGAAAAAGCAAATGTTCTGAAAGTATGTAAATGATATTTGTGGTTGCATATTGATACTTACAATACTTACCACAAGACTGCTTCTGACATATTGCACTGTGATGTGTCTATTGGATGTTCACTTAAAAGATAACACGTTAGAATATCATCATTAATGAACAAGGACAAAGGAACAAATGAGTAACAATGTTAACGCTACTATTAACTAACAAGACACTGATTAAAGGGATGCAGTTTATATATAGTATCCTTAACTACTATGTACTTACATTTATATTAATTATTTGCCACAATGCACTTATTGTGCACATACATGATTTTAGATTGTCTTGTCCTGTAATTACATCTATAATTACAATGTTGACCCGAACTCTACCCCTTAAACCTCTACCACCAAACCTGCCCTATTCGCATATCCAGCCTCAGTAGCAGCATAAGTGTTTTGCAATTCAACATGAACATAATAGGTACACCTAATATAAAGTGGGACAGATTAAAAAAATTAGTAACTACTATTTTTTCATACCTCTGAGAGAATTACTAAGAACCTAAATATATTTTCGTAATTGTAAATATTTGAGGTTTTTGTAATGTTTTGTATAATAATTACTTATGATAGATGAAAAATGCATTACCATTACTGTTATTGCTTTTAAAGTATAGAATTTTCTAATATTCATAATGGTTAGGAAAGATGGGTCACTTGTTTATAGGTAATTCCAGAATTTCAGGAAGGAGAGGCTATTTTGCTTAATTCTGCCTTGATTAATTAAGAGTAATTAATGACAGTATTTTAATTTTTGGGTGAACTAGCCCTTTAAGACCAAATAACCTGAAGTAGATGTTTAAGTAATGTTTTATCATTACTAAGTATGACTAAACAAATAAGTTAAACAACATCTTTTATAAACCATAAGATATGTCTTTTTAAAACTGTCTTGAAGAAACCTGCTCTGCAGGTAACAGTTAAGTGTGTTTTCTATTTCAAAGGGTTCTGTTCTGCAGCCCCTGCCTTCACAACCTGCTTCTACAGGGCGTAAGCCTAAATTGGACACAGATGACCATCAGAAAGCTACAGGTCTGTGCAATTGCTATTTGATCCAGTTTTTTGATTGATGTTAGACAAGAGTACAAAGAAACTGGAACTTTATAGATTTGAATTTATAGAATGTTTTTAGAAAGTGTAATTAATGTTCAGTATTAGTGATGCTTCCACAGGGAACTGTTCTTCAGATGTTAGCCCTGGCTTTGGCACATACATAAATTAGAAAATTGTGGAATCTCTGAATTTTGGACAACCTATGTAAGAGCTCACAAAATATGATAACAAAATAGACATGCAGACAGAAATCGCTTCAAACTGAATGCAATGATAATGCTGCAATGCCATCTTGTGGACACTATTTATACAGAACCTTGTGTGCAATGGGTTCTATGAATGTTAAAGGTTCTTCATGGAAACATCACTGTCAATAAACAACCTTCACTGAAAATGAAGCTGTCAACACAGGAAACATAAAGAATAATATTTTAAAATATATATTTTAAATTGAAATAATATTTCACAATATATCTGTTTTCATTTTTCAGAGCAAATATTTGTTGTAATTCTAATTAAACAGGCAGGCCAAAAGCTCTCCTCTTTTAACTATTATGTTTATTGTATTCACTTTATATACATTATATACATGGATGCATGAATGAATTAATAAATAGCTACTAAATTTATAGGTTTCAATGGGTTTTATCATTGTTAATTTGGATGTCATTGTGAAAAAGAAATTAAGTTCATCTGCTTAAACGTATATTAAATTCAATTTGTTGAATGTGTGCTCATCTTACCCATGTAAGTAGGAAAAAATAGATTATTAAGTGATTTAAAATGTACTGTACAGTAAACCCTTTCATTTTAAATTAACAAAGTGCACGTTTTAACCCTCTGTGCCTCTTTTTATGTTTTGAAATTTTAAATTTTTTCACTTTATAGGAATGGGATGACACTGTGACTTTTGTCGCATTATCTATTTGAACACAAAAAATCATGGACATGATTTGGATATGTTAAAGGGTCAATAAATAAATAAAGTTACACTGGGCTCCTTCGCAGTCAAAAATGACCGACATATGAATGGGAAATACGAAGAAAAAAAAATTACAAAAACTCAAGAGAATATTTTGGTCGTATAAACTCCAAATCAGACGTGATGCAAACAAAAGCACACAGCAATGAAGGGGTGACACTCTAAAATATCATGAGTGCAAAATAGACACACATATATGAACTGGTGTGACTGTAACAAGTTTTTGCAAATGTGTGAAATAAAATCAATAATTAAGCCACAGTGCAGTAAAAAAAAATGGACAGCAAGAAAGAGATTACACTCTAAAACATCAAGAGTACAAAACCGACACACCAACTTAAATGCACACTCACTTGCACACACTCACAGACACACACAGCACACTATTGTACACACACAGATGAAGTGGTGTGGCTGTAACAATGACAAAATTGATACAGAAGACTCAAATAAGAGGTTGAAATCAGATCAGACCTAGCATTCCTAATCATTTGATGTTAAATTTTTATTGAATTCTGATGTTATGTGTAACAAAATGTCCTTCTCTGTGTTCAGGTTTGACTGTAGTAAAATTAGGGTTATATAAAAGTATTTATGTCTAAAAAAAACTAGAGTATTACGTTTTATTTTTATTTTATTACTTCCAGCAGATGGCACTAATCTGCCTTCAAAAATTCAATTTTAAAGGCCTGGTCTTTATTTTAAAGGGGTCATATGATGCGATTTCAATTTTTCCTTTCTCTTTGGAGTGTTACAAGCTCTTGGTGCATAAAGAAGATCTGAAAAGTTGCAACGACTAAAGTCTCAAATCCAAAGAGATATTCTTTATTAAAGTTAAGAGTTAACCACGCCTGGATGTGGGAAGATTTGCATAACGCTGCCCAAATGTTCACGCAAAGAAAGAAGGCGTAACTTTTATTCTCACTGTAGTATTGTTGCCGCTGCCGCCATGTCGTGAAGAAGCTGTGTGCTTCGTTGTGAAAGTGAAACTACTTTGTTTGGTCTTCCAAAAGAGGACGATATCCGCTTCGTCATGGAGTTTTGAGCAGTGTAGAGTAGCGCTTGTTGTTTGTCATTTCTCCGATCACAAATGCAGACAGGGTTTTATGTTTACGCGTAAAAAGACTTATACTGTAGAAAGACAGTATAAGTCGTTATAATCAGTAATTATGTCCCCACTGGATGCAACAAATGCCTCGTTTATAATGGGTTTTCATGTTTTTGAATCATCGCTCCGGCCTGACAGGGCATCCCAGTATGGTAAGGGGCGTAACATTTCCGTCACATGCTTGAGGTATTCGGCCAATCACAACGCACTGGATAGCTGGCCAATCACAGCACACCTCGCTTTTCAGACCGATGAGCTTTGTAAAAATCGACGCGTTTCAGAAAGGCTGGGCATAGAGGAGAAACAATAATGTACAGTATGTGGAAAGTAATGTGTTTTTTTTTACTTTAAACCACATAAACACATTTCATTACACCAAATACACAAAATAATGTTCTTTTTAGCAGCATCATATGACCCCTTTAACATGAAATGCTGCTTTGACATTCACAGAGCCAAAACGTGATTCAGCCATACTCTCCAGCACAGGTGAAGAGAAGGTACAGTACAGTTCTATTTTGGGTTCTATTATAATCAAACATATTAAATGATTGTTGCATTAATGGGATGCTAACAGACCGCTTACTATAATGTCTAAAGCAGAAAAGGTTAAAGTAAATAGACTGTAGATTATGTTTTTTCAGTTGGATGAGGATATGCAATTTGCATAGTTAATCATACATTAATTTGCTTTACGCTGTGTCCTAATCAGGTGTGACAGGATTTCTTTCTTTCTTTTCAACCATGTCCTCTTTTGCTTCCCCAGGGCAATCGTGGAGAGAAAGAAATCAAGGTAAACAAGATTTATTTTAGTGGTACACACACACCTTTCACCAGTGCAATGATTGGATGATGACATCTTCCAGATATTGGCTAGGTTGATGAACACATTGCCCATTTTTCTGTATAGGGTAGTATTGGGTCTGGATATCCTGGCCCCAAAGGTGATCGTGGGCCTCCAGGACCACCTGGACCAGCTGGACCCCAGGGTCCAGTAACAGAAGTGAAAAGCACAGGGGATATAAAGGTGGAGAGGGTACAGGGTCTAATGGGCCCACCAGGTCCAGAGGGCCCACAGGGGGAGCCAGTGAGTAACATGAACTTCCCTTAGCTTTTCATTTCTGTTAAAATTAATAATATTTTTAAAAAGAGTCATAAATGTTGAGAAACATAATTTTGATGTTTTATAGGGTGAACCAGGGCAGGACGGCAAACCTGTGAGTTTTCTGGACAGACTTTTCTAGACAGTGTTTGAATATTTTCTAAGATTTTGTTTATTACTTCTTCATTCTCATTTGGTGTTACTATTCAGGGCCCCGAAGGACCTCAAGGTTTTCAAGGACCACCTGGTACTACAGGACCTAAAGGACAGAAGGTGGTTTGCAAAATCTGGATTTTCAATAATTATTTATTTTTATTGATCATTCATTATTTTTATTGACCTTACTACACATTATATGTTAAACCAGGAGTGTGCAAACTATTGCAGTCTGTTGTGCTTTGAGATTTTTTTTAAAAAAAAGTGATTTTGTGAAAATAAAATTTTGAATATGGGTGTTATGTGCACCTAATGAGGCATTGATAGTCATTATTCTTATAGTTAGGTTAAAATCATCTTGGAGGTGAAAAATCACTGTTGACCAAAATTTTGGCAAGATATGTTTGAACCAAGAAAACAAAAGAAGTGCTTTGAGGGTTTGAAGGCAGAACATTATCAGGCACACGGAAAAATTACTGTTTTTTTCACTAAGGTCTTTGTATGGACCAATAAATAAAAATGTGTCTTTTTTGTATCTCTAGGGACAGAAAGGGGAAGGACATCCAGGCCCCAGAGGCTCACCTGGGCCACCTGGACCTCCTGCACCCTCAATCTCAGACAGGACTGTGAGTATGAATACATCTAGTATAGGTCTATGTTCTTGGAGCTAAAATGTGCATACAGTAGAAGGAACTACTGAGAGCCTATTATGAATTATCGGCACATTTCACACAATTCGTGTGAAAGCTTTTCTGTACTCATACACGTAGCAGAGAGGCACAAAAATGTTGTTCACCAACATTTTTTAGTGACACAAAAAGCAAAGACATGGTGATGTGAACACGGTTTTATTTTTAAAAGTTGTTTTCTTGAGTTTCCTTTTGCTGAAAATTAGCAGTTGTTATAGTATACCATGAAACCTATTGAATGAGCTAAAACATCTGTGTTTTATATTGTAATGTTCTCCCTTCAGACATTTATGGATATGGAGGGTTCTGGATCATTGCCGGTATGTTTTAACAATCAGCTAATCTATGCCTAAGGCTACTAGCCTAATTTGAAAACATTCTTCTTCTTATTTATTTATTTATTTATGTTTTTATAGTGTATATGTACTATACTATACTATTAACCCTTCTTATATAAAGCATCAACAATTTTGATGACAATATGTATCTTGGCAACAAACAAACTTTGCATTTCCCAATGTAACTTTGCCCTTTCAAAACCATTTCACTATGGTTACCACACCACGTCAAACATCATATTATAAAAAATATATTAGAAGTATTTTTAAATATGTTTAATTATTTAAAAAACACTTTTCCTTAAAAAAATATATATATTTATATTTTACTCTACTGAATATCCTAATGAATTCACCAGATCTGCTGCTGTTGTGTTTGGCTGTATAATTTCATTTTGGAGTTAAAGGTCAATATGTTCTCATCTTTACAGCATTTATGTTGTCATCCTGGTCTACCTGGGCCTCCTGGGCTTCCTGGGCCGCCTGGGCCCCTAGGACCAGACTGGCCAACTGAATCAGAATTAGAACCTTTTGAAGCTGGCCCCACTGGTCCCCCTGGACAAAATGGGTTCCCTGGGCGTCCTGTAAGAAATTGCCCCCTCTTCATTAATACCATTTATTTAAAAACATGTAGTAGAACTTTGTTTGTGTGCTGTTTTTCCCTTTTTATTATGACTCAGGGGCCCCCAGGTCGACCTGGAAAACCTGGTCCTCCAGGCCAAAAGGTAAATATTAATATGATTTTTTTAATTATATTAATATGATTTTTTAAAATTATATTAATATGATTTTTTAAATTATTTTTAATAGGCCTGGTATTAAAATGAAATCAAACTATTTATTTTTTCTCTCTCTCTTTTAGGGAGACTGTGGTGATCTTGGCTTACCTGGAGTTGCAGGGGAAAAGGTCAAACAAGTGATGCTAGCGCGTTTAATAAATTAGATGTGAAGATGTGCTCACAGAATACTGAAATATAACTGAAAATCAGACATTCACATATCTCACACATTTCTATCTATGGGGCTTTTTTTTCATTGGGAAGTTAATCTTCACTGTATTTTTTTCTCCCTGTAGCAAAGCTCTGCTTTCTCTTTTTTCTCCAATTGGTTTCCTTCCTGGGAGACTAGTGGGGCACAGGTATTCTAAAATCATGCATTACTACAAACTAACTGAATTGGGTTTGGTGTGTCACAAGAACTTGACTGATGAATGAAAGTGTTATTTTTAGTTCACTACAGACAACTTTTCATCATCAAAATTTCGCCTACCAGTCAATGAGGGCTAGTGAATTGATCAAATCAGACTTGTGCTTTAGCCAATGCAAACTTTCTGTTTCTGCTTCTACTTGTGTTTTTAGCTCATATGCGAGGCTTGCTTGTCATTTTCATGCATTTATTTTTACAACACTGTAACAATTGAGGACTGCTCACATAACCTGCATTACGTCTTCTTGAGTGGTATTTACAGTAGTTCATGACATCTCTTTAAATAAACTTATAGCATGGCAATGAATATGACAAATTAATGTAATTGGTCTGAGATTTTTATACACTGCTGCTGCAGCTGTTGTTAATGGATGCATTCAAAACACTGCTTCACGAAGCTTCAAAACTTTGTAATTAGATTGTTTTGAACAAGTTGTTCGGAGTGCATTTAAAATAAGCTAATTCGTGTGATTTTAGCAAATGAGGCTGTTTGCTGTTTCGAAATTGTGATTGTTCGGTGCTATGGGATGTTAATGAAGTGAACCCATAAACCATGCATTGTCTAATAGATGATTTCAACTGATCTTTAAGTTTATAATATATTGTTGACAGATTACAATAAGAGCCCCTATTACCTTGCACCATGTTGTAAACGAGGCATATTACCTATAAAGTGCCAATTTCATGACTAAACTTCAATTTAGTCAACAAAAGACAGTCAACGTAAGCTTTTTTAGAACACTTTTGCAAGTTTTAAACCCTCCCTTCTCTTTAGGGTCCACAGGATACAGTAGGAATCCCAGGGCCAGAAGGTATGGCGGGGCCGCCTGGGCCTATGGGACCTCGGGGACCTCCAGGACCCCCTGGACCTGCCTTCCGAATTACTGTAAGTTACTTACTGTAATCTTTGAAGTTCAGCACCCTTAAGGTTCACAGGACTTTGTGCCTCTACAGTAGGAGGCCTAGAACTTGATCTGCCATATCCACTGTGTTTTCAGACTGATGGGAAAGAAAAAGAAGTTGATCTTCAATACATTCCAGGAGTCATGGGGCCACCAGGTCCACAGGTAACTATAAACTGCTGTCACATTATCATCACAGCAACACAGTGCTTATTCCACCTCATCCCTGTTGTTGTTTTTTTCCTCTAAAGGGACCTCAGGGGATACCTGGACTACCAGTGAGACTATGACTTATATGTTTATAATGTGATATCCAAGTTACAAATTACAATGTAGATTACACATACCTGGGAGAAAAGTTCATTCTCTTTTCTTTAAACTCTGCAGGGAACACCTGGTTTACCAGGTATTCCAGGTCAGAAAGGTGAAGAAGGCCAAAGAGGACGAGAGGGAATGTCAGGGTTAGATGGCTTTCCAGGAAAAATAGTGAGTGAAAGATCTCTAGCATGAAGATTGGCTTTGAACAGCATTATTGTAACTTTTAAATAATTTATTTTTTACAGGGGCTAAAGGGGGAAAGAGGATGGAAAGGTGAAAAAGTGAGTATTCATTTGAAGACACTTACCTTAGATGTTGGATCTCTATCGCTGGTTCACTCAGCCTTCAGCAACAGTAGTATTCAATCCAGTTCTACACTGCAACTATTCTGTGGACCTAAGCAATAGATTTATAATAATATATTTGTATTTAGGGTTATCCTGGTCGTGCAGTAGGGCCTCCAGGACCACCAGGGCCACCAGGTCGTCCAGGACAAGTTACCTATATTAATGGCAGTGTAAGTGTTATCATACAGTAAACGCTCAAAGGACATTGTATAACTCTGTAACATTTTACTGCTCCTTTACAACAAACAATGACTTAAATTACATTTCATTTCAGACAAATGGAGAATATGGAATCCCTGGACCACAGGTGAAAGGAACTGATAAATAATAGTCATTATAGCTTTTCATTAATTCGAGTATGTAAAATATCATGCAGTTCAATACAGAATATCCTGTGTAATTATGATTTACTATTTGCATATTATAATGCATATTGAACCACATTCAAAGCATTGTGTTTTGTTCTTGTTTTATTAGGGTACACCTGGTATAGCTGGTCAGGCAGGATTCCCTGTAAGTTTTTAATGACTTGTAATTTTGTTGTAAGTCTAGTATTTTATATTTTGGATAACATCAGATTCTACCACATCTGCACCTTTTTATTTAAATGTTAATTTTAAACTTAAAAGATCAATCAATGCATTCATCGTGCTCTCCCATCTATTTAGGTGCCAAGACCTATATATGTTAAAAAATTACAAAGATTGGTCTGCACTCTAAAGAGCAGGAGCTTTAAACTTTAAAAACTGGGTTATAATGCATTTTTTTATATCTTTAAAGGGACCAATGGGTCCAAAAGGTGATCAGGGGGAACCTGGACTACCAGGAGACTCTATCAAGGTAATACATGTATGTTTTGGTAAAACTTTATTACAAAAATACACTTTAGAAAATCAATTAAAAATCAGGGGTATTCCACCAAATATTCAAATATCAAAGTCTTGGGGATAATCAAGATATTTTTTGGCAAATGTGAGACGAGCCTTTGTGTTCTTTTTTGGTCAGCAATGGCTTTTGCCTTGGAACTCTCCCATGGATGCAGTTTTTGCCCAGTCTCTTTCTTATTGTTGAATCATGAACACTGACCTTAATTGAGGCAAGTGAGGCCTGCAGTTCTTTAGATGTTGTTCTGGGTTCTTTTATGACCTCCTGGTTGAGCCATCATTGCGCTCTTGGAGTAATTTTGGTAGGCTGGCCACTCCTGGGAAGGTTCACCACTGTTCCAAGTTTTCTCCATTTGTGGATAATGGCTCTGACTGTGGTTCGCTGGAGTCCCAAAGCCTTAGAAATGCCTTTATAACCCTTTCCAGACTGATACGTCAACTATTTTGTTTCTCATCTGTTCTTGAATTTCTTTAGATTGCGGCATGATGTGTTGCTATTTAAGCATGCTTCACTTTGTCAGACAGGTTCTATTTAAGTGATTTATTTGATGATCTGAATCTTTTAAGGGTGACAAATATGTAAAAACAAAAAACAGGAAGGGGGCAAAAACCTTTTCACTGCACTGTATATGGGAACAGCAGTGTTTATAAGATATTACCTTTATTCAATGAGCATTTTTCATCCTCTCACACTATGTTTTTGTTCTTTTTTCTTTAGGGTCAAAAGGGTGATCCTGGCCTGATCGTAGACTCCAGTGGTAAACCCATTTACATGGGGGGGCTAGCTGGACAGCTGGTAAGAGACCAGCGGCTTTCATTCAGATAGATGAGTTTAGATCAGAACTTTTAAGCATCCATAGCATTGTTAGACAATTGATGTAGTTACTATCTGTTTTAGGGTGAACCAGGACCTCCAGGACCAGAGGGGCCTTTGGTGAGTTTTTGGCTTTTTGTCCCGCTGGGGTATACCACACAGAAAAGCTCTATTTTTACCTGCAAAATTTCCCTAGTATTAAGAAATGTATTGATCATTATTAACACTGCTGATATTTCAAGAGTATATGCTATAGATATGTTAGTATAATTTTCACTCATTAGGGACCAGTTGGGCCACCCGGACCAAAAGGAGAAATCGGATTACCAGGCAGACCAGTGAGTAACTCTAATCAAATCTAACAAGATTTTCTATCATTTTACATTTTCTGAAGAAAGATTTTATCATAGACTTTTGCAGTGACTGTCAGTAGCAACACATTAGCCAATATAATTCATCTAAACATATAGTTGGCTCCAAACAAAAAGTATAATTACTTTTTTATTAAACTTTAATTTAATTTAAATTAACATATGCATTTGCTGTAAAACAATTATATACTTATTACATGCAATTATAATATTTACAATTATATAATTATTAAATTTAATAAATAATTTATCAAAAGGTATTAACGAAAACATGATTGGGTTTTTTTATGAGGATAATGTGTGTTCTATGTGTTTTATAGATACATGAGTGTACGTATACTGGTTATTGTGTGTTTTTATGCCAGTGTCAAATATGAATTTCTGTTCAGGAACTCTGTACAGACCATAAAGTAAAGTAAAGTAAAGTAAAGATACCACAGGTGAAAAGTCAAAAAATTCTGATGTCCGGTCACATGCCTGAACATTCAGGAATAGAGATAATATAGTAATTAAAGGATATAGATAATGGTCAGTTTTGTTCTAATTAGGAGTAAACCATTTTCAAAAAGCAGCAATGAAGATAAAATAGCCAGATGAGAGTCTGAGACAAGTTAAACATTTTACAAATTTAATTAGCAGTCATTTACTGACAGTGTTGAGCAATATGGGTTCCCTTTCAGTCGGTCACTCTCGACCTCACGTCGGTTGACAGACGAACTGGGATCTCGCTTAGAGAGACCAATCTAATTCGAGTGTAACTAAATGAGCTAATGCACATTGGCATGCGATTATTGCATCCAGCTGCCGCTGATCACAGTGTGAGTATAAGTAGGCAGCTGGTGCAGCGCATATTCAGCTTTTCGCTTCGGAGCCAAGCGATCACATCGTTCTGGTCCTGACTACTCTACTGAGAGAAGATGACTGAACGAGTTCAGTGCGCTCTTTGAGAGCTCTTCGTGTTGGCGGTACGGCACTTCAGCGGTGGTGGTTTCACGTGTCGAGTGGGTTGCACACATCAGGCTGCAATATCCCCTGTTTGTGTTGCAGGCGGCCATCTCCCCTGTGCGCTTCAGCACGCTAAAAGAGCTTTTTCCCTAAAAGAGCATTCACGGGTGCGTCTTTTTAAACACGACGTTGTGTGGCAAACTCGATGTTACGTCTTTGTAAAGACGATGTGGGTCTTGCTATAGACAACGTATTACCTGGGCGTGTCTGGATGCGGTCGTTACCTGGCGCTGGGTGATGGTCACGATCGATGCCTCACGTGCCTGGGCATTTAGCACACTGAGGTGGTGTTTGGGGATGAGTCATGTTCTCATTGCGGGAAGATGATCATCTCGGAGTCGCGGGCCAAGCTCCGTTCCCTCAAAGGGGCGGAGCTCCGTTGCCTCTGCCTCGATCTAGTTCTCGTCATGGCAGCAGTCTGGCGGGGGCTACTTCAGGCAGTAGCATGGGCGGTCTGAGGGTAACAGTGATGGCAAACCCTCCAGGGAACCAACCCTCGGGGGACCATCGCTCCTCTTGCACTCCGCAACCAGTTGAGCTGCCAATGGAATGTGCTGGGCCCTCTACAAGGAGCGTACCAGCAGTATCCTTTGGCGCTCCTCCCGACGACCGGATGTCGATCGCTGCATCGGAGGGTGAGCCGGAGCTTTCTGGAGAGGAAGATTTGGTTGTGCTGCTGTCCTCCGGGAATGTATCAATGCCTGAATCGGATCCTGAAATAAGGGCTATGCTTTTCCGGGCCACCATGAGGGTAGGGGTCGAGTGGAGACCTCCACCGTGTCCCGAGCCCTCAAGGTTGGACGATTGGTTCTTCGGGGTGGTCCGCGGTGGTTCTCAGCACCCCGCCCCGGTGCCATTCTTCCCGGAGGTGCATGAGGGTCTTACCAGGTTGTGGATGGCACCTTTTTCTGCCAGAAACCGACCTGCTAACTCCTCCTCCCTCACACCACTCTCGACGGTGGTGCAGCTAGGGGGTCCCCCGGTGGAGCGGTCGGTTGAGATGCAGTTGTGTCCTAACACAGCCTCCACCCGGCAGGGCAAACCGTGCCTCACTTCCCGGGTCTGTCGGTACTCATCTAATGAGTAAAAAAAAAACTAACTGGATGATCTACTCCATCATCACGCTGCTGAAGAACTGCTCCAGCTCCCACGTTACTGGCATCAACATGCAGTGTAAAAGACTTATCAAAGGACGGAGCTCAAAGCACAGGCTCCGAGCACAGGAGAGACTTAACATTTTCGAAAGCCATATCACAGCTAGGAGACCAAGTAAACTTTACCTTGCCCTTCAACAAATCTGTAAGTGGTGCGACTACAGTTGAAAAATTACAACAAAAAGATCGATAGTACCCTACCAGCCCTAAAAACCTCATAAGCTCCTTCTTTGTTGTCGGAGAAGGAAAGCTTGGACCTTTGCATATACTGGACGCACTTCCCCATTTCCTAACATTTTCCCAAGATACGTCACAGATGCCTTGGGAAACTCACATTTTCTTAAGTTTACCATAAGCCGAGCTTCAGACAAACGTCTTAGCACCGAGCGTAACCGTTTTAAATGAGAATCCCAGCTGTCGCTAAAGAAACCAAGTCATCCAGATAAACAGCACACCCCTCGAGACCTGACACCACCCGGTTCATAAGGCGCTGAAACGTCGCCGGAGCATTTTGCAGGCCAAAACTCATGACCTGATAAGAATATGGCCCTGACGGAATAACGAAAGATGATACTTCTTGCGCAGCTCCCACATTACTGGCATCAACATGCAGTGTAAAAGACTTATCAAAGGACGGAGCTCAAAGCACAGGCTCCGAGCACAGGAGAGACTTAACATTTTCGAAAGCCATATCACAGCTAGGAGACCAAGTAAACTTTACCTTGCCCTTCAACAAATCTGTAAGTGGTGCGACTACAGTTGAAAAATTACAACAAAAAGATCGATAGTACCCTACCAGCCCTAAAAACCTCATAAGCTCCTTCTTTGTTGTCGGAGAAGGAAAGTTCTGGATGGCTTGGACCTTTGCATATACTGGACGCACTTCCCCATTTCCTAACATTTTCCCAAGATACGTCACAGATGCCTTGGGAAACTCACATTTTCTTAAGTTTACCATAAGCCGAGCTTCAGACAAACGTCTTAGCACCGAGCGTAACCGTTTTAAATGAGAATCCCAGCTGTCGCTAAAGAAACCAAGTCATCCAGATAAACAGCACACCCCTCGAGACCTGACACCACCCGGTTCATAAGGCGCTGAAACGTCGCCGGAGCATTTTGCAGGCCAAAACTCATGACCTGATAAGAATATGGCCCTGACGGAATAACGAAAGATGATACTTCTTGCGCTCGCTTGGTAAGAGGCATTTGCCAATAGCCCTTCAACAAGTCAAACTTGCTGACGAACTTTGAGGACCCGATCTGGTCTACGCAATCTTCGATGCGAGGTAAAGGGAAACAATCTGGTCTAGTTACACTATTTACGTTTCGAAAATCATTGCAGAATCGAACACTACCGTCTGCCTTTCCTACTAAAAGGCATGGGGAGGCCCAATCAGAAAACGAAGGCGCCGCAATATTATGGTCCTGCATATACCGAATTTCTCTTTCCATCAATTCCCGATTCGCAAGAGAAAATCGGCTGTTTAATTGGCTTTGCGTCCCACACATCAATATCATGTTCGACCCAATCAGTACCAGAAGGCACATCTCCAAATAATTCAGGAAAACTACGTAATAATTCACATAACTCCTGACATCTTACAGATGATTTCTAAATTTTGCAATGACTCGGAATTTTGTAGCCGACCACGAAGCACACAATCATCCAGCGAGAGGGTCTCCTCTTCTCCCCCCACTAAGCTACCCCCACCAACAGAGGCTACAGAAAGGGTGGGACGTGAAGGCATCAATTCCGCCGAAAACTTAGTTTCGGTTTCATAATAAGGTTTTAGTATATTTACATGACAACGTTTAACAAACTTTCTTCGTGATGGCATTATAACTTCGTAATTTTCAGCACTCAATTTACGTTGTACTACAAAAGGACCATCAAATTTAGCCTCAAATGGAAAAGATACAATAGGCCGTAAAACAAGCACTTGATCGCCTGGTTTAAAAACTCGATGCTCAACTGTACGGTCGTATAATCTCTTCGTGTTTCCCTGCCATTTCTTAAGATTTTCCTTAGCTCGCTCCCTCACTTGAAAAAGTTGATTCTTAAAACCCAACACATACGATGCCAAAATTTTAGGAGGTTCAGCAACTTTCTCAGCCTCCTGAAATATGGATAACAAACCACGCACTTTATGGCCGAAAACCAAGTCATTAGGGCTAAAACCTGTACTTTCCTGCACCACTTCGCATGCCGCTAACATCATCCACGGCAAACCATCTTCCCAGTCTCTATCCAGCTGCACACAGTACGCGCGAAGCAGTGACTTTAACGACTTTTGGAATCTCTCTAAAGCACCCTGGCTTTGAGCGTGGTACACGGTAGGCTGGTTACATTTAATGCGCAGCTGTTTCAACACTTGCTGGAAGAGGTGAGAAGTAAGGTTTGAGCCTTGATCGCTCTGAATGATTTTTGGAATTCCAAACACTGATATAAATTGGGTTAAAGCTTTGAGAATAGAGCGAGAAGTAATACTGCGCAATGGATACGCCGCCGGGAAACGGGTATTTAATCACATAACAGTGAACAAATAAATGCTTCCTGAGATGTTCAAAAGGTTCACCAGTAGCTTCAATTGGTCGCAAAGGAAAAGGTTTTAACATCTGATTCGGTTTGCTAGTTAGTTGGCAGGTCTTACAACTTTTAACATAAGCAGAAATATCTTGCTTCAAACGCGGCCAAAAAAAATATTGCAACAAGCAATCGTAGGTTTTACGCACCCCTTGGTGACCTAGTTGATCATGCGCAATTTCAATCATCATTTGTCGATACTTTACAGGAACAACTACTTGAAA